AGCTCTCTCCAATCCAACAGAATTTCGGCCTGGCCTTGGGCAGAATTTCGGTATCTCAGGCGATACGTCGGGATGAGGCGTACAGAGTCAGCGTTTTGTGTAGCCAAGCCTTGATGAAGTCCTCGAGCTGTCAGTTTTTGTATGTTTCTTTTTGGCTGGAGTCCTTCTGACTTACATCAGTAACTTCAGCTGTTTCTTGAGATATGGCTTCTCCCATAGGATTACTTATCTATCACACACAGACATTCAAGCTACTTAGTTTTGACTCCACACAGTTTCACATAGTTTCTGTGTGAAGTGATAAGTGAGCCTGAGAAGCCGAGAAGTTCCTAGTTTCTAGTTTCATTTCAAAGTCACTCTTAATAGCCATCTTAATTTATTCCTAATTTCCTAATACATTCAGTACAGTTCCCCATAGGCTCCAAGTATTTGGACATTCTGTCCCCAGATGGTGGTGCTGTTTTGGGAGGTTTTAGAAGGTGTGGCTGTCCTGGAGGAAGCACGTCACTGGGGGTGGGTTTAGAGAGTTCTTAAGCCTTGCCAGATTGCCAGCCTCTCTCTTGCTTCCTGTGCCTGCATGATGCTGTGAGATCTTGGCTTCTACTCCTCCTCCGGCCACCTCTGCTACCATGCCTCCCTGCCAAGATGGACTGTAATTCCCCTGGAACTGTAAGCTCAAATAAATTCTTCCTTCTATAAATTACTTGGGTCATTGTTTCTATCATCGCAACAAAAAAGTGACTAATACAATGTTATTGATTTTTTCTCTGTGATTTTGACATGTGAATTTCTTTTGTAGTTTCTGATTATTGTGTTAGACTCAAGCCTTCCAGTTTAGGTCTGCTTCTTTTTGTAAAGTTTATGTGTCTTTGTGGTTTACTTTTTGAGCATGAAAAGCTGGTTCATCTAAGCTTCCAGTTCTCTCTTTTGATTTTATATTGGAGTGGCCAGATTGCTTTTGTCTTCAGGAGTTCCCACAGAGGCCTAAGTCAGATGAGGATCAGAGGCTCTCAGGCTTTCTCCTAAGGTCTGGATCCCTCTAGGAAAGATGTTGTCCTTAGGAATTTGGGGGTTGGATTGGCCTGGGCAGGGCCCAGGAAAGATGCTGGTCTCAGGCAGCTGGTGGCCTTGCCACCCAGAGATGCAAAGGGAGATGGGGACAAGAAGAGGCCCCAAGGGCTCCTGGGGACTGCAGGGAGGACCTGGGTTGGTCTGGATGCAAAGGATCCAGGAGCAGTGGTGGTTCCAGGCCTAGAAGTCAGCCTGGGTGTCCAGGAAAGAGGCTGGTGGGTTGTGCAGCCCAGGAAAGCAGAGGGAGGTGAGCAAGAAATAATATTTTAAATTTTATTTATTTATTTGTTTATTATTTGTTTATTTATTATTTATATAAGTGTTTTGCCTGCATGTATGTGAGTGCACCATGTGCATGCATTGCCCACAGAGGCCAGGAGAGGGCATCAGAGCCCCTGGAACTCGTTTTAATGGTTGTTAGCTGCTATGTGGATGCAAACCCAGGTCCCAAACCTAGATCCTCTGCAAAAGTAACCAGTGCTCTTAATTGCTGAACAATGTCTCCGGCATGCAAATTGAGACATTCTTAAGATGAGATTTGACTACTTGAATTTGAATTTGAAACCCAGTTGTAGAACATATATAGAATCAGTTGTTAATTTTCTGTTTAAGGAAATGAATACTTTCATATGGAAAAGAACTTTTGGTATTTATGGACAACAGCTGTTAGCATTTGGTGCCAGGTAAGATCTCAATAAATATTTATTGAGAATCTGCATTACAGACAGTGAGTAGGAGAATGCTGTAATGATTGCGTTCTGGCTACACCGGAAGCCAGCTGAATGAGCAAGATCATGACACAGCTTTAGGGAACGTGAAGAGGTAAAAAGCAGAGAACCTCAGGAAAATACCAAGAAGATCCTTACTGCTTGGCCTGGGGTGTAGACAGGTAACCTTTGCTCTTCCACTGATTCTTTGAAAAGTGCCAGAAGCCTTGGGCATAATTGTGGGGCCATCAGGATCTTGACTGTCTAAGGATTTCGTTTCTCTGAGGATACATAGAAACCCAAAACAAAACTGCAGAACCCAACCATCATAACTGCAGAGACCCAGACTCTAGCTCAGCAAGTTGCAAAATCAAGTCAGATAATACATAAAAAAAACACTTTGAAGTTCATGAAAAACACAGCTTGGAATGAGAGCACTGTTGGTGAGTGAGCTATAGCAATACAGCAGTATTCGGTTACAAAGCCCCTCCAATACTTTCATTGTATTTTCTTTCCTGCTGCACATTTTAGCAAATAATAAAAATATAGTAGAAATTTGACTTCAAAATTGTTTTTAATGTCTGATAAAGTATTCCTTTTTGCTGCTGCAAATAAAGTATTGGCATTAAGATATATTAAAAAAAAAAAAAAACTTACTGTGTGGATCCCCAGGCCGTTAAGCATATATACCAAATCCTCAGTGGCCACATTCCCAGAAGCACCTTCTGCATAAGGGCAGCCACCTAATCCAGACACTGCAGAGTCCACCACGTTAATTCCCATCTGAAAAATAAACCACAACATCTAAGTCATGTGCACTTATAGAGTGTAAGTTGCTACTTTCTATTTAACCTGTCACAAGGATACAAAATCTGAACCTGTTATCTAAATGAAGTCACTACTCACTTGCTACTACAACTACTCACTGAGCTCTGTGGGGAGCTAATTCCTTTCACTCACATCAAAATTTAGAAGGTAAAATTATTGTTTGTTTTTTATAACAGCACACAAGAGGGAGTGGAGCTAGAGGTAAGGTGAATTCATTTCTGGTATCTTGTTTTCAAATTTCCAATATTTTATTTATTAGTTTTATTTTATGTGTACGAGTGTATTGCCTGCATGTATGTGAGTGCATCCGTGTCGTGCAGTGCTGTGGAGGTCAGAAGAGGGCTTCAGATTCAGCTGGAACTGGAGTTAAGGATGGTTCATAGCCACCATGTGAGTGCTGGGAATCAAACCTGGGTCTTCTTCAAGAGTAGTCAGTGCCCTTAAGCACTGAGCCATTGCTCTAGCCCCAATTTCCAGCTTTGTTTTTAAAGCATTACATGAATAACGTGAAATATTTCCAACATTACAGCCACAAATCAAAGTGTTTTAGAAGACTGACATTAGTGTATGTGGGTTGAGAGTGAGGTCATTATCTGCCATGGCTTCGTGGGCTCAATTCACCCATCAAGTTCTCCCAGCCCTTGCTGAAAAATCATTTTGCCCACAAAACTCTGCTCTTCTGGAAGAAGTGAAGAGTTATTTAGGATGACCAGTGTTTGCCACTAACAATAATAACAGCACACATATATTGGGTCTGCACTAAGCACTTGACATTAGTTTGAACATTTTGTGTGCATTAACTCATGATTCTCACCAAAACTCCAGGACACTCCTAGAGTAGCCTTAAATCACAGGTGTAGTGACTTGGGTATAATGAGCTCGATCTGTGCATGCCACAGCCTGGTGTAAAACTCTTGTCTCCAGAGAACTCCCACTCTGCCTTGATTCGCAACCTCTAGAAACTGCAAGTTTGTACAGATTAAGTGCTGGGATTTGGGGATGCTGAGGTGGAGGATGCTGGAGATTGTGGAGGATGGAAGCATAAGGAGGTTAAGGAAAGCCCCGGGTATCAGATGCTAATAGTATGAAAAGAGAGCTAGGCACACCATTCTTCTGGGAATGGTGAGAGTTTGATAATTGGAAGATACAGAGCCCTAATCTAATTGTTCACTACTGAGTATTGAACAATGTATAACAATATCTCATCTAAAATAAGAAATTCCTGAAAACACAGCACTTGGCCTACTGGCTAGAAAATGATCCTCAAAGACTGAGCAGAGCACAGCTTTCTGCTACATCCAGGTTCTAATTCAGATCTAGGTTGACACATGAGCATGTTAACTTTTAACAGGTGACCTTTCCTTGCTCCCCTTCTCGTCTCCTTTTCCTCTTCTTTCCTTCTTTTGCACATCCGTTCCTTTCCCCTCGCTTCTTTTTGATGAAAGTTCTGTTTCAGAACATTTAGAACATTTAGATTACTTGTACACTTGTGAAAATTGTACAGCGATTTCTCATACACTACGTACTTCGTGTCTTCTTACACTGTTAAAGAAAGCGAATTCAATGATACTTACAGAAAAATTTATTTAAGTTTATTGCAAGTGCTGTAGGAACACTGTAATATGGTATTGGAGAGAGAGAGATAGAGAGAGAGAGGAGAAGAAAAAATAAAGAAGGAGGAAGAGGAAAGGAGGAGATTTGGCACAGTTCCAAATATAGTACTGGCAAATGGAAATTTACATTGATGAGTCAGGATGAGGTAAGTGGATGGACAATTACTAAGAGTAACAAGAGAGATGTGGAATGTTCTAATCAAACCAACATTAGAGGACTTTTCTGAGGCTAAGCCAAGGTGATGGTGGACTGAGATAGTGAAGGATGGAGAATTTTATCAGCTCTGAAGTGTGATCAGGTATCAAGGATAGGCATTCATGCTAAATTGATGTAGCAGATATGGATAAACTTGGAGGAATTGCACAGATAGGCCTAGAAGTTCAGAAGCTCGACTAAAATTTAACTAAAAGAAGAAAAGGAATCCTTGAGGGGCTGGAGAGTTGACTCAGCAGTTAAGAATACTTGCTGCTGTTGCAGAAGACCTGGGTTTGATTTCCAGCACCTACACAGGGAGGTTCACAACCACCTTTATCTCCAGTTCCAGGGGATCCAACACCCTCTACTGGCTTAGAACATTTAGATTACTTGTAAACTTGTGAAAACAGTACAGAGAACTCTTCTAGGACCCCCCATGTACCCTTCTCCCTTTATGTTCTCGCCTTTTAAAAACTGTAGTCCAGTGAGTCCAATTAGTGCTGCTTGTTGGATTGTTGACTGATCTTATGGACTGGATATTTGCAGGTAACTATGAGTGGTGTGAGTTCAAGAGTGTAATGACCAAGTCACGTCCACAAGACAGCATTTTGCAGCATTCCTCCTTATCCTCAGGCTCTTACATTCTTTCCTCCTCCTTTACATTCTTTCCTCTGTTCCATGAAGCTTGGGTTAGGGAGGTTGACATAGTCCATAATCTCTTATTTTCAGCACCTTGACCAGTTATGAGTCTCTGCATTAACTGACGACTACTGCAAAGACACGTTTCTCTGGCCAAGTTTGAGAGCAATGATAATCTATGTCTATAAACATAAGTAGGAGGCAATTTGACAACCTATCAATTTAGCAAGACAACAGTAGTAGATTCTACCCCGAGGCCTACGACCTCCCTCCTGACTCACAGATTTTAATCAGGTTAACGGTAGCAGGCATGAATTCCCTCTCGTTGAGCAGGTCTCAAATTCAAGCCAAAAGTGGTTGATTGGTTGCCCCCTAACATTCATACCACTATTGCACCACTTTTGTACATCTTGCCTGGAAGGTTAGAACTGGAGCATGTAGATTTCACAAATGGATGATATCATTGATGACTTTTCTCCACCAGCACCCTGCGTAATACCTTCCGCCACTATGAAAGCTAGCTGGTAAGGAAGACATTTTCAGGTCAGGTCCTTCTTTTACTTAATTCATTGATCCATCTATTTTCTTGAAAGTGACATTCTTTGTATCAGAATAAACTCCAATGAGAAAATATAGCATATCATCATAATCTTTATCCATTCATTTTTAGGTGGACATCTAAGAGGTTAATTACATAACTTGACTACTGTGAATAGAATGCATTTATATGTATGTGTGTATGTTTGTTTGTGAGTGAGTATATTTGCATGAGAAACTGAGAGCAAAAGAGACAGAGACAGAATATTAATCTTCTATAACTATCTAAAAGTCTCTTAAGGACAAGCTACAATTTTGTAAGCCTTGGATTTTAAAAAGAATTATGAAAGATAGCCTGCTTGCCTTGACACCGTATTTTCTCCTTAGCAAGCACCTCAAAATGGGAAGGGCCCAACATCTCTCCACTATATACACTCTTTCTCAAATAATGATCTCACAGTCTCAGACATTATGCAGGTGTTAACAGAAGAACAATTAATATACTGGGTCATTACCTTAAGGTAATTTATCTTCGCTATTAACTAAATACTAAGGGTAAAGAATCACAGACCTACAAGATGGCTCAGCAAGTAAAGGCATTTGCTACACAAGCCTTGTGACCTGGTGATCTGAGTTTGCCCTCCAGATGAAGGGAAAGAACTGATGTCACAAAATTGTCTTCTGATTTCCACATGTGCAGTTTGGTATGGATAACTACACTCATCATACACACACACACACACAGACACAAAGCATTAATAATGATACTGTTTTTGAAAAGAATGAAGAATTATACTCTAGGGGCTGGAGAGATGGCTCATTGGCTAAGAGCCCACTTCTGGCCTCTGTAGGCACCCCCATTTGTGTGTACACACAGACACAAATACTTCCACATAAAGAAAAAAACAATCTTTGGAAAAAGATACACTTGACATGAAGTTTTCATTTTGTCTAGTAGTTGGAAAAGGCTCATCTCTGAATGTTATCATGACATCAAATAGTCTTTATTTATGGCTGGAAGATGATCTACTTAGTGGAATTTAATCAATTGCCAAAGAAGACAGTTTCAGTAGTCCTTACTCCTGCATCCCCATTAGAATTACCTATGACTCTTTACAAGTGTTAGTACCAAAAATTCTTCTGTAAACTAGTTAAATCAAGCTCTCCATCTGAATGCCGGATAAGGGACTGGTAGTCCTTTCAGCTGCACCTGGTGATTCTCTCATGCCAAAGTCCTCATCCATCTCATCACATGTGAGACACATTGAATATCAGTCTTTTCTCTCAAACATAGTCAAACTTTTGTTTACCACAAGGAATTAAAATCTTTTAATGTCTTGCCCCACCTTGTAAAACTTTTGTTTATGCAAAGGACTGTTACATTCCTGGAACCTGATAGGATTGGCCAACCCTTCATTTCCTTTTCAGAGATTTTATTTTTATTTTTTATTTTTTTTGAGACAGGGTCTCCCTGTAGCCCCATCTGGTCTAGATCTCACTATGTAGACCAGACTGGCCTTGATCTCACAGAAATCCACCTGCCTCTGCCTCCAGAGTGTTGAGATAAAGGCATTCAGTATGACACCTAGCTTGCTGTTCTTTTAAAACTAGTCAACCGAAAAAAGGCTGTGGTGTCAAACCCAGCTAATGGTGAAAAGACTGTCTTGCATTGGTATAAAAACCCTATTAAATTTCCTGCTCACTGTGCTTGCTTCTCCCCCTTTGTGAGTCCTGCACCCTTCTGATCAGAAGGAAAATTTTGTCTTGAGATACTTTAACTGGAGTGATGGTCTCTTTCCATTCTGACCTTGTTTCTAGCACCTTTGCAATTTTGGACATGTGCCTGTTGTAACTTTAAAGATGTCCTACACTCTGCAACAGCAATACACTAAAGTGTGAGTTTCAAGTTCTTACACCAGGAAAGAAGGGCCACAGGTAGTAGAGAGGTTGAAGAAATTGTGAGGACCTGT